AGCGTAATGCAAGGTTTGAGGTGTAGCCCGATGAGTTCTCAGAATATTAGAGCCATAAGAGGTCTGCATTCTGCTTCTTGAGACACTGCACAATGATTTGAGTACAAAAGCACTATGAAAAATTCTTCTCTGGGGAAAAAAAAGCTTGGGAAATATTTTCAGGTTTATATATTAGGGGGGTGGGGGGAGAATCTTTTAAAATTATTTGGTTTAATTAGGAAAAGAACAAGTATCACTCCAAATTGAAACTGATTTACAGCAAAGTGAAATTACCAGGTATCTCCACATACCGTCCTTACTCAATAGGATAAACACCTCCAACTGCACAGTCACAGTGCTCTAATTTATCAACATTTATTCTTCCAAAAAATCTAGGCAGATTCCCACAAACACAGTAGGAACAATTAAAGTACATTTCAAGATACTATTCCAAAAAGATTTTTTGAAACTGTTAGAAAAGGTGACATAATTCCAAATGTCTGTTTCCAGCTACATATCCAAGTACCTGCTACCATTAAATCTCAACTACCCTCCCTGAGACCATCACCAAGAAAACCATTTTATCTCAGCCCAGATAAGTGTCCGCATAAACTTCATTCTCTCAATAACTTTCATTCTAAAAGGTTCAGAATTTTTCGGGTAACTCCTATGTTAATATTAACGCTTCTGTTGGCACCCCTCAAGTTAAACAAGTCATCATTAAATGTAGTGTTCGAACAACAGATTTAGGTATGCCATTCCACATTTGAAAAGAAGAACTTTAAAACATGAAGGACTCTGCCAATGCTGAAAGCCCTGGAACGTCATAATAAAGACAGCAACTGGATTACAATAATAAACCTTAACTGTGCATATTTTAGCAGCACACTGCAGTGAACTGCTAGTTATTTACTACTAATAGTACTATGTTGTAGGTATTACAGAAATAATTCAGTCTAACGGTGTGTTTAAAAATCCACAGTGAATTAAGATTAATCAGTATGACCCACCTGCATTATGTTGACGCTCAACAAAAATTTATCAAAGGACTGCTGATGTTATAGACTGTAACTGCACCACAGCACTGAGATGCTGAAGTTAGACTGGGTTATAGAAGCAATCTAGCTGAAGAAGCAGTTACTGATGGCCTAAATTATTCTGTACAACATAATGCAAACATGCCCATATTCTTTCAGGAAGAATTTCACTCATATATAAAATAACGCAAGAATTTCAGGATTACTAGAACTCTCCGTGAAGCAGAACACCCCACAAGAGAACATGCTCAGGGGACAGCCAAGGATGCTACAGTTAGACACCTGCAACCCTGATCGCTCCCAAACTAACTGCAATCACTTTTCTAGTCCACAAACTAGGATGACAACAGGGGTAATAATTTGTAGTGAGGTTTGCCAAGGATTAGACTAAATATCATCATCATCACATAACTACAATTCATTTTTTTAATAGAAATGCAACTGCCAATAAAAAAGGGTAAAACATCTTTAGCTAGTCTCAAAAGCTACATATGAATCCACGCCTGCAGTCACTTGTAAATACAGAGCCTCACGCGTAAGGCATCCGAGTTCTAACCTTCTCTCAGTCTGACACCTTGAAAGCTACTAGATCAAGAAGTTTTGTTTTAAAATCACTATTTGTGCATATTTGTCAAAGCAGAAGAGAGCAACAAATAATACATTGCCCAAAGCCTCATTTACAGCAGTACAATAATATTTTCCTTAAAGAACCTGCAACAAGTACCACATGGAAATGAAAAGACCCAAAACCTTGAAGCGGTATCACTTAGGCTTTTAGGGTATAAATTTCAGTGATCCACTGACAGCTGCTAGATTATGCATATTGCCTAAATCACCACTGATTTTAAAGGAATCTGATTTTTAAAAACCTTTTCTCACTGTGTCATAATGATAGCATACTGACAGCATCATATTGGCATTCCTTTGCTTTTTAGGACATGTTTTTATTGCCTGTTCTCATCATCTGTTTATTTTTGGCTTCATTTTTCTAAATACTGAAGCTGCCCTATCAGTTTCACAGGCTTATAAATGTTATACATCAAAAATTAGTTTCACTTATTAAGGCAGGAAACGGCTTTAAGAACTCTGGGATCTGTGCCTCAAAGCAAAAGCTTTATCAGCAGGTTCCAGTCACTGCTTCTTGCAAAAGAAAATGGTGCTGATTAAAACCCCATACACCTGATTTCAAAAAGAACACCTACCCACAGAACATTTTTCACATGGCTGCAAGGGGGGCTGTACCCCAAACAGAAGGCAGCTGTTTCTCATACGCTCCCTGCCCCCAACCCTGCAACATTGCTCTAGAAAAATGAAAACTATACATAAAAAGATGAAGTTGAGATAAAAGAACAATAATTCATCCACTTCTTTCTCCAGACTTCAGAAGTGGTGTACTTCAATACAGCCACGGTACAGTTCCATGCCTGACTTCCTCAGTGTTGTGTGCTGCATTTGGAACTTAGAGGGATACAAATAGCCACATACTTTAAAATTTAACTCACTTCTAAGAAGGATTATGTAAAATGAGTTTTAAGAGGGACATTTCTTTAAATTGCAAAGCGACTGAATCAATACTATACAATATGAAAGCAGTATCTTGTTAATTGTACTTGTATACAAAACAATGATTTTTGAATCAACCTCTTCCATAATCAAATCCTTTTCTAAAGTTCTCCACTGAATCAGAATTAGTCACCATTAGAATGATTTCCTTAGAATAAAAAGTATTTTAAAAGATCAATTAAAAAAAAATACAGCTTCTTAAAATCAGAAAGAAAAATGAATCGTGCAGTGGGTTATGTAGCACATCTTTACAACAGCAGAGAACCCCAGTGAATTCACATGGATTCTGCCTCGACAGAACTCCTCACGAGATCAAGCCAGAGTCATCTGAGTTTTCCTTCTTTCAACATACTATTTATTCAGATAAACCCACTTAACCAAAACCAAGTCAAGGCTGTGAATACTAATAATGTTTCAAGCATTTTGTTTTCAGAATTACAACATGCTAATATTTGAAAGTCAACAATTTGGAGCTAATGTTCCACAAATAATAATACATTGCTGTACCACCTGGGATATGCTAGATGTTGTACAATCCCATGGCTACCGAAATCAGATAACAGTTTATCATAAATATTACAAAACCTTAAAACTTCTTACATTAATTTGTTTTTATAGTCAAACAATTTGCACTAGAACCTCAGTATGTTTTATTGATTATGATACTCTAACCACGTTAGAGTAGATGGGATAATGACATTTGTGAAGGAGAACAGCAAGTGTTTTTCATGTTGTACACATGGAAGGTAATATATCGGTATCACAGCGAGAAGCTGGTCAGACTTTAAAAGAACATTAGGACGCATTCCTATCGCTGTCAATAGCTGTAAATCTTTGCAGATTGAAGTTTTGTGATCACTGGTAAAAAGGCAGATAAGAGTTTAGTCATTAGAAACTGCCCTGAATGACTAAATGTGGGAGTTTAATGATTGTGTAAGAACACACACTGAGGAACAGCTACCCAGCCTTACTTAGAGAACCTTAAGAACTGTATTGCCCATTTCAAAAGCCATCTATTTTTAAAGGCACCACAATATTGTATTATATTGCATTAAACAGATTTAAATCTGCAATTTTACATTAAAGCTTAGATTGAAACCCTGTACTTAGGAAACATTTTCAATATTTGTATGAGAATGAGAAGTATTTGGCATTTGTCTTTCCTTTCTTAATCTTTTTCTAATACCTTTGAGTTTTGCTAGTATATACAGTGGACAGAAAATTCCCATTACCTCTGTGAAGAGGGAAGAACATGCAAGACAGAGGAATGAAAGCAAAAATTATATAATTAATTTCTAATATAAATCTAGAATATTTATAGTTTAAATTATATTAATCAGATAAAAGTTGTAGTTTCCCCACTCACCCCAAATAGTACTTATTTAGTTCTTTTTCCTTACCTGGCTTCAAAACTATTCCAACTATCTTTTTATCCTAATTTTCTTCCTTTGTATTTTCTCCCTTATACACAAATAGCAGTGGGCACAACAGCCTTCATGGATTTCAATTATGTACTTCAGCTGCTACCACCTACCATACGTGCACCAATTTAACTATTTCTTATATGAAATTGCAATTACCAGAGGTATCCGATAGATTCCTCACCAGTTTAAGTATTCACTCAGCACTACATACAAATTTCAAGGGTCTAATTTTGAAGCAAAGAGTAGCATAGCCTTCATAAATTTACTCAGATACACCACATAAGACAACATCTTAAAAAATTGAGTTTCTCTCACCTGGATTTTTTTTTTTTTAGATATGCATTTATAAACTAAAAAATTATGACAAGGAGAAAAAAAATATCTATTCATTCTATAAACATCATTCTAAGGCTACAGCAATATGTTTGACATCCATCTACTCCCATTCTTCTTCAGAGTTCTTCCAGCCATCAACTCCTGATCACATGAATACACAGGAAAAGAGCACTGGGGCACAAGTTTGGGTATATCTGGCCTTACTTGGGCATGCCTTGCTCTAAGCTTGCTAAATCTCTACCTTTCTTCAGGCTCCCCAAGCTTATTGGGGAGGGAATGCAAAGAAAAATCTGAGGCACAGGGAACTGACAGGAAGAGAACATCCTACTCCTGTTTTCTTGGTGTGCGACACGCAGAAAAATCAAAAGCTCGATATAGGTGACTAGTTACTGACTCCTCTGACTCGTGGAGTCAGCATGAAGGCTTTAAAGCAAGGTTATTTAGGATCGTTCATGGTTGTATTTTCAATTCTTATACATAGCTACAGCTGTCCAAGCATTACAAGATCAGCAGCAAAATCCTTCAATCACCAACAGAAATCTGCTTAGGAAATAGGAAAGATGCCCCAAACAATCTTCAATGCTATTTTAGTTATGACACTTTTTGGACAGCCATACAAAACTGAACGTTTCCTCAGAGCTTTTGTTAATAGCCCACTTACCTCACGAATGGCTAATCTATCACTCAGCTCCTCAGCCTTATCAATGTCACCTTCCGCCACAGACTTCTCTATGCTAAGTTCAAGGCCAGACTAGAAAAAGAAAAGCAATTATCTTTAGGACAAATAAAGAAAGAACACATTTAAAGGGAACATCTCCTTTCTAAAAGTATTTCTTTCATAAAATTCTTTATTTTAAGACACTGCATAAACCTGTAATTTCTATGTAACACAAATCACTTTGTCTCTGTATTGTAATGGACAGTATAATTAAGAATTCACTGAAAGGCTGCCTGAGCACAAATCATTGCATTAGTTCCACCTTATGTGCAGGATAATACTGTAGGTTAAAAAAAATTACACGGACTAGTTTATGCCTGTCACAATAAAATTTCATCTGAAGATCTGGCTTATCTCTTCCATCCCTGGAGCTTTCTAAACAAAATGTGAAATATATGTGTCAGGTAACATGAAGAATGGCAATTACCACTGTATCGTTACAGTTCTAAGATCTTATCTTTATCCAAAAACTGAGTTCTGGCATGGTGCCACTCCACTGTGTGAATAAATTAAAAATTCTAGCGCTCCCATGGAAAACAATGAAAAAGCTTCAGAATTTAACCTCTGAAAATAAGGAAATAAGAAGTAATCATAAGATCAACGTAACATAACTTGTTTAACAACAATATTTACAAATAATGTAACAATAAAAAGTAAATATTTACTCAAAATTATAGGTGAAAACCTCTGAAGGAATACAGAAGGGTAGCATAGCAGTAGCACTGACTTCAAAATTTCACAAAAAACTCACTCTCTCATAACAAAACACAATTTACAGCCTCACTGGTTTTAAATATTAGTGATGCTAAAGAAAACACATTTGACTGTTTCATAACATACACTTTTCAATGAGTTAAAAAGTTAAAAGCAAAAAAAGCCAACAGAATTCTTGAGGAACAGTGATCTGCAAATACTGCACTGGAATTATTCAGGTGGAAGTTAAAAAAAAAAGTAGTGCACAATTGGAAGTTGCAGTGAGAGCCAATTCTGTTAGATGTCTTTTCTGAAATTAATGAGACATTGTTCCACTAGTGATAAAATCTCTGAACTTACATGGAGAGAATCTGCATTTTAACACTTTGGGCCTCGTTCCAGATCTATCCTGAGCAGTTTAATGACAACTAAATACCCACCAAAAGTAAGAACTCAGACAGAAGTGAACAATATCTCATGAGTGGCATGCAGATACTTACTTTAGGCAAGTTAAAAATACAAAATTTGTCATAAAGGAGGCTAACCGAACATTTGATGTCATAGAACTTATACAGGCCTTTACTAGAAAAACTACAGAACAGTGCTATGACGAACTCACAATATACTGAGTTTCTTAACTTTTCCATCATGTTGTAGCAATTATTTCAAATACGACTAGTTACACAATAATATTTATGAACAGAATGTGTTATAAATCTAGTAAAACTGTATGGTAGGTTTGGCCCTCTAATTCCCATGGCCACTGGTGTCAACTAAAGGATTTACTTGACACATTTTAAAGTTAAATCACAACTTAAAAAAAAAAAAAAAAAAAGGAAAAAAAAAGTCAAACAATGCATATGAAGTCTTCTGTCTCTCATAATAATAGAAAACAAAACCAGACAGAAAACAAGCACAGATACTGTCTTAAAAGAAAGCACAGCAACCTTTCAACCCAAGTATGATTCACGTGATATCTAAAAGGAAATTCATTAAAAATGTGCACAAAATTATCCTTCTTCAGAGTGACTCCATCATTTACTCACTTTCAGATGATCTCAGTTTTATTCCTATCTCAGTTAAGGCTGAGGTTTTTTACTGCCAAGTACAAGCTGACATTGCTTTTGGATCAACAGTCACCTTTTGTGGAGCCCTGCTATCCACAGGTGATTCAAATCTATCATTGATTCCAAAGTATTGTGTAAGTTCTTTCCATTTGTCTTCATTTGCCAACTGTTGACTACTAAAAACAACAACAACAAAAAAGTCATTAATATAACCAGTTCCCCTTCCACAACTTGCAATATTCTTTTCAATGCTAAAAGTAATTCTTCCATTTGGCAGACATGCTGTTTTCACCCATTCACAGTTTTTAATGAAAATGAAATTAATTATTCCTTCGCCTCTGAAAGTGTAATTCCACAATCTTAAAAGCAAGCTTATAGAATCATAGAATCATTTAGGTTGGAAAAGACTTTTAAGATCAATAAGTCCAACCATTAACCTAACACTGCCAAGGAGGAAAACAGAAGAGGAGGAGGAGCAGGCTGAACAGGAGCTTATATGCAATTACAAACAAATCATTATTAGGAATAATATTGCATCCATTTTAAGTTACATTAAATAACACATTTGTGTTGATTTTTAAAATCAAGCGATAAACTCTATCAAACAATCACTGGTATCAAATTCAGCCTGCCCGACAGAGACACTGAACAACTTCACCAGATATTTTACATGATGTTCAAAGCTAGGCTTTGGCCATGCATGTGGTCAAGCTTTTTACAAGTTTTGCCCGATATTAAAAACAGACCTCAGATAATCACATTGACCTTGTTATACCTCTTAGTCACTTCATCGTTCTTTTTCTGTTTTTCTAGGGGGAAAAAAAAATATTCAACATTACACAGTGATACCCTGCAGCATCCAATGAAGTTAACAGAACTCTAATTGGTCACATTTCCTTTAAAAGATTGACACACTAGGATTTTTACCCAATGATCATGTGGATTTAAACCACTCAGCTGTAAGACTTTTCATAGAAAGAACCTCCTACAACATCTGTGAAGAAGTTTTAACCAGAATACACAAAAGTGTGTTTTACAGAATTACTGAAATACACTTAGCCATTAGAAATCAGTATTAACTGAGTAAATTCTACCTCCTTTTTAAAAAGAGGACAAGTATATTACTTGAACTTTAAGTAGCAACTCACAACCTAGTCCTACAAGTGATGTATACAACTGGAAAAACAAAATCCTAGATAATAGCTAGGATACATCTACTCAGGCATTCAATTCTTAGTTAAAAAACAAACAAACAAAAAAACCCCACCAAACCAAAAAAAAAACCCAAAACCGAGCAAATCCCACTTCCAATGTATTCGATACTAATTCCATTTTGAGAAAATAAATTCTGTAATTATATAAAACACCTTTTCTGCGGCGCTTTCTTTTTCTGCTTTTGTTTTCCTGATTTGCTTGGATTTTCATTTCACGTTTTTTCTTCTGAAGCTCCAGAAATTTCTACAAGATTAAGAAAAGGCAAATCAGTATTTGTAATTTTTTTTCCATTTTTTAAAAAATTACATAATGTGCTGAGAAACGTTGTCTCAATATCTTATTTATCCACATTACCTTGTTATATCTATTACATTAAAATTTATGCATTGAGAACATCCAACTGATAGCGTTAAACTGGAATTGGCTCTAACCTTTCATCACCTCTCTCCTTCTGCCCCCCCTAAATCCCAGCCCTATTCAAACCCAACAGTTTTCTCATGGGACATGACACTGAATACACTGATGCTGGCTGTGCACTCCTGAGCTATTCAGTGCGTTGTTATTCCCTAGCTGCTAGTTCATAACCCAAGTATTACTGACAGCATAGTCCTTGCACACCAGGCTGCCTACATGGATCGATGGATGGAGGAGAATAACTAGGTTTTGTCAATTCTTATTTTGACTCAAAAGCCTAAAACACAGATTGCTTTGTTTATATTTATTTTTTTCAGTCTTTGCATGCAGCAGGAAAATCAAGAGGTTATAAGGAACCATGAGTCTGAATGCCTGCAACTAACCCCTACAGAAAGCAGCAGGGTTTGCCTCTACTTCATGGATATGCATCACCAGTACAGTGGCTGATACACTTAGCTGTAAATCCTTGCTAATGCAAAAAGCAGTTACGAAGAAGCTCAGAGCCCACACGCTACCAAAACCACAAGTCTTTATGCAACTGTACAGTTATCCAAACATCTCCCTGCTGTGCTTTCAATCCCCACTGCACTAGGGGAAAAATAAAAGAGAGTTACATTCATTTCCTATCTAAATTCCTGTCCACACTGCTTGAAGCAATCTAAAGTATATTACCATGACTGCACTTTGATCATATTTTCTTCATTTCAGATTTATATATTGAGTATTCAACATTGAGTTATTTTAATTTAAAAATTAGCCATTCGACTTTGAATATGTTGCATTTATGCTCTGGACATTTGGAGACTTGTAACGATACCCACATTCCACATATTTAAAGAAACTCCAGAAGGGCACATTTGAGATTCATTTTCTCCATCTGTTAGAGACAGCAAAACGGGTTCACTGATGGCATTACTTTCAGGTCCCTTCTCCTGGAATTCAGAAAGCTGAACTCTTTCAATATCTTCTTTTGTATCTTCCTTTGAAAAGGAACCATGCAGTTCGTCTGCCTCATCAGAACTTAAGTCAACATCACTTTCATTCAGTCCTGGAGGTAACAGTCCACTCCACATCTTCCAGTTTAAACAAGTCCAAGCCACTTCAAGTCACTGCAAAGACACCAGAGCTATGTGAGCTTACCCATTCCGAGAAAAAAACACAATTAACCTGCAGAAGAGAGAAGGAAAAATAGAAAAACACACGATCAGAAATATTTTAATTTCTCTTGAGAAGAGTAACTATCGTTAGATGTTTTAGACAAGCACCTTACAAAGCTCCTAATACTTACTAGTTCAGAGAGAAGTAGAGGACTTAAGCACACAGGTCGAAGCTATTAGCTCTCTTTTTTTCTTCCTTGCTCTTTAAAGCTTTGCCACTTCGCACTTGTTTATAGCTGCTTTCAGCTGCAGTGCGATGTTGCAGCAAACGCCTCCTGCCTCTCTCCACGGTCGGCGGGGGAGCGCAGCCCGCCCTCCCACACGATCGCTTCCCGGGACAGGGCAAACGCCTCCCGCCGGGCGGGCATGGCCGGGGGCGGGGGAGCTCCGCCGGCCCCGGGGTGGGGGAGGACGGCGAGAAGAGGCCGCTCGGGGAAGGGGTCAGGGCGGCGAGGCGAGGGCAGCCCGCTCCGGACGGAGCGACGCGAAGCGAAGGGAGCGCAGCCCGCCCTCCCACACGATCGCTTCCCGGGACAGGGCAAACGCCTCCCGCCGGGCGGGCATGGCCGGGGGCGGGGGAGCTCCGCCGGCCCCGGGGTGGGGGAGGACGGCGAGAAGAGGCCGCTCGGGGAAGGGGTCAGGGCGGCGAGGCGAGGGCAGCCCGCTCCGGACGGAGCGACGCGAAGCGAAGCGCCGCTCCAAGCCAGGGCGAGGGAAGGCGGCCGGCACCTCCGCCATCTTGGCACCGCCGGAACACCCCGCCCGCCGATTGGACTCTGCCCCGCAGCCAATCAACGGGCGCTTTGCTGCTTTGGGCCCGGCCTCTCTGGTCTCTATGACAACTGGGCAGGGCGGGCGGCGGGGCGAGGGCCCCGGCCCGGGCGAAGAGGCGCTGCCGTCCCGGGCAGGGGCTTCTCCCCTGGGGACTGTGGGGGAATCAGGCCCCCTCCTCTTAGTGAGGTAACAGGGGTACTCCTCACAGCCAGGAGGGCTCCAGAAGGGTCTGGCGGCCCAAGGTGTGCAAGCGAGGTGGTTTTATCAGAATTAACAGCAGTGCTCTGGTAGAAAGACAGGTGACGAGTTTTACAGCAGTCCTACTTGCCATAAAGGAGTATGGCGTCTATTCCAAAAGTAAACCTTGTAATTTATACAATGCCTAAGTGTGTATGCTGGCACGGAATGACTAGGGTCAGCAGCCTTACTCTTCAAGGATGGAAAAATCCTTTCGAAGTTCCCACTAGTGTCTTGGATTAACGTGGTAAAGAGAAAACCTCAAAAACGCTAGTCCCAGATCTTGCAAGGTTGTTCGCTGTGGGTTGTCTTCCAACATCAGAGCTCGCATTTTCCTTAAACTCCTCCAAGAACGTGGAAAAGCTCTTAGACGCTCGTGCCTCAAAGGTGAACAGCGAGTCTGTGCCGAGCAGGCAGTAAGGGACTTGCTTATTTGGAATATTCTCTTATACCTTCTTGTCCTTTCAGCTGTCCTAGGTGAGACAGACGAAACAAACAAGTATTTAGGAGCAGCCTGAATATCATTCAGCAAGAATGTCTTGCATATAAGGAGCAACACGAAGGGAGGCACAGAGAAACTGCAAGAAAAAGATGAAGGGATAAGGCTGACATCGCTAGCACTGAAATGTGTCTGAAATACGGGCGGTTTCATGACTGAAATAATTTGTAAGAAGATGCATTTTTGAGTGATGATTTGACAGGTTGAAAACTAAATCTCAGTATCAAGACTTCTGAGAAAGGAATTGGTGATACCAAATCAGAACATAACCCAGTTGTGGACAAACAGTTCAGCTATGAGAAAGGGCAAGAGTTTAAGTGTTATGACAATGGATAACAGGGAGTATGGCTTTGAGTAGGGATTTCATGGTGGATCACAGCTTCTGGGATTGGCTGTGCATGGAAGGAAAAAATAAACACCTTTCTCATGGACATAAAACAGATCTTCAGATTCATTTCCTTTCTGTGCCATAATTTTACATCCTCAGATTCATTTCTAAAATCAATTACTTCCGTAAGTAATCACTTTTTCATGAACTACGTGTAAATTTCACACTCAGCTTGCTAACTAGATTTTCCTCTCATCTGGGAAATCAATTTTTAAGAGATTTATTTTATTTACATTTAATAATTGACTGTATTTGGTATACAGATAAGTGGTAATTGATAAATGTATTGATATTGGATATTCATTGCCATTTGTTCTACCAAGATGTTAGACCGTTAGGCTTCATGATATTTTCTTAATGTGAGCTAATTTGAGAACACTCCAAAAATAGAAAGATGTGTGACATCTTTATGGCCTGTAAATCTATATGTTTGGTAGGGATACATTTTCAGAAGGCAAGTTCAATTTCATGACATAATTTGTATCCAAACATTGTGCTCCTTGTTTAGTATCCACAAGGCAATTTATGGCACAAATTGGCACTGGTGGTGCACACAAATGAAGTACTCAAATGTTCACCTGCATTTCATTTCATAATTACAAATTCATTGTATTTGTAAATTAAAAAGCCAAATTTGAGGATAATCTCCAGTTCTCCTGCAACAAATTCTGACTTCTCACAGGTTCTTCCACGAGAAAAAAGGTGGAAAGAGCTCCTCCCTGGCTTTCAGCAATCCAGAAGCATTTGTATTCAAAAGGTCAGTGATTGCTGAAGCTACAAAAGAGATTGTTGGTTACTTAACAGAATTTGCAACTTACTGTTTTTTTGTTGAAACAGTGTGTAGAGTCTTTTTATCTGGGCAAGAAAGAAGACAGCACACCCTTGCGACCAACGCTGATGTCCCTACCTCAAATTTGTGAGGGCTGCTTTTGCGTCCAAAACTTGATTCAGTGTTGAATTATTCTCATGCCAAATTTCTGTTCCCCGTCGAGCAAATATTCAAATCATCTGATTTATTTCCTTTTGGTCAACTGATCTAACTTCCTTTCTCACTTGAATTCCTGTCCTGGAGACCTGCCAGACAATGACTCTTATGAATGAAACAAGTCATACCTCTGAGATTCCCATGGAACACCAAACTAGTGCAGCACAGTAATTACAGGTTAGATATTTTGGATGCTATTATTAAAAACTACTTGAACTTTAGAAGGAAGGCCTACTGCAATTAGATGTCACATCAAGTTTAATTTGAATCTTTCAGGGTCTCTATGAATTTTCAGGTTCTAGGTGATTTTCTCTGTATCTCTGTTCCCTACCTTTACCTTCTACTGTTGGATATTTACAGATACCACTTTGAGTCCCGGTTGTTCTAGTTTACTTTGCCAGATGTATTGTCTTGTAGCAACAGGAATATGAGGTTCCTGCTACGGGAATCTCTGTAGAGCAAAGCACACAGTCTGCTCAGGAATTGAAAACGGCAGCTCTGGGGGTTGGTCTTTCTATTGTTACTGTAGAGTAACCCAGTATTAGTGTATAGCACTACGGTACTTCCAGTTCATGCTGTCCTGAGGTAGTCTTAAGCAAGTTTGCTTGAGAAGAAGATGCCCTGTATCTATTTGAGTAACCAGTCTGTGCTTCTGATGCTATTTTTATTCCCAGTACTATTTAAGATGGACTCTTCATACCACCACCACATTTGGCCGTGTGCACTGTATCAAGCCTGAACAGAGCATTTTTCCACACCTTTGTTTGTTTTCATGTAGCAGCATTGAAAGAGAGCGTGCTGCTAGTTTCTGGGTAAAAAGTATTGCTTCTGATCTACAAAACTCTGCATTGCTTGGGTTCTTTTTGAAACACTCTCTTAATGAGTAACTGTAACAGAAGTGGTCAAATTTTTCATGTATCAGAAAAGCTAATGGCCGTGTATGCGCCCGGTCCCCATGGCAGGTTCTCACAGCGGAATTCTTTTCTTCAGACCAGCTAGAGGTTAGATTGTTGGGCTTCAGGACACGGGGAAGGCCTGAACTATTTCCTCAGACGTATGCTTGAAGCCGTGTTTAGCTAATCATAAATAATGATAGAGTCATAGAATCATAGAATGTCCTGAGTTGGAAGGGACCCACAAAGATCATGGAGTCCAACTCCTGTCCCTGCATAGGACAACCCCAAAAATCACACCATATGGCTGAGGGCGTTGTCCAAATGCTTCTTAAATGTTGTCAGGCTTGGCGCCGTGACTACCTCCTGGGGAAGCCTGTTCCAGTGCTCCACCACCCTCTGGGTGAAGAACCTTTTCCTAATGTCATGCTTATTTCCACAAAATATACACAGTTTCCTAGTAGAGAAATGGAATCTGCTACAACATAAATTATGCATTATTAGCTGTTTCTTGTTTGTTAGCAGTAAATGAGGACATGAGAGACTTTTCCTTAAGCATGGAAATATGCTACATTTTATCCTTTTGAGACTGTTTTGGAAATATGTCGAAACGATCAAGAACTGAATTCTTGTTTAAACATAATAGGGAGGCCTTATTGTATTAGCAGATTACAGTCATTGTGTTAGTATACTATCTACCTTGTATTCATTTTTGCTAACATAATGAGAATTTTTTCTAGCATGATTATATTTTAATACAATAAAATAGTGTTGGAAAGGAAAATTAATATGATTTTAAAGAGAGATGTAAAGACAATAAAATAACCTCTGTTTTTTTCCTAAACTTTTAATTTGTTGCTAACTTAAAAAATACTTTTTATTAATCCTTTAAAATAATTATATTCAAATGAGCATTTAAAGTCAGTTAAAAGGATTACAGAGAGGTTTTTCCCACGTACTCTGCCATATAAGAACCAAATTAATTCTTGCTAAATAAACATTACAAGAACCATCATAGAGACAATTAATGGAAATCTCCAAAGAACATTATCTAAGACCGTACATTAAAGTATATTAGTAAATATTCTATACTATATATTGTAATTAGTAATGATGTTTTGTAATTTGAGCTCCCTTTAC